TTGAAGAGATCTCTAGTCTTTCCCATTCTGTTGTTTTCATCTATTTCTTTGCATTGATCATTGAGGAAGTCTTTCTTATCTCTCCTGGGTATTCTTTGGAACTCTGCATTCAAATGGGAATATCTTTCCGTTTTTCCTTTGCTTTTCACTTCTCTTCTTTTCACAGCTATTTGTAAGGCCTCCTCAGACAACCATTTTGCCTTTTTGTGTTTCTTTTCTATGAGGATGGTCTTGATCCCTATCTCCTGTACAGTATCACAAACCTCCTTCGATAGTTCATCAGGCACTCTGTCTATCAGATCTAGTCCCTTAAATGTATTTCTCACTTCCACTGTATAGTCATGAGAGATTTGATTTAGGTCATACCTGAATGGTCTAGTGGTTATCCCTACTTTCTTCGGTTTAAAGTCTGAATTTGTCAATAAGGAGTCCATGATCTGATCTACAGTCAGCTCTTGGTCTTGTTTTTGCTGACTGTATAGTGCTTCTCTATCTTTGGCTGCAAAGCATATATTCAATCTGATTTAGGTGTTGACTATCTGGTGATGTCCATGTGTAGAATCTTCTCTTATGTTGTTGGAAGAGGGTGTTTTCTATGACCAGTACGTTCTCTTAGCAAAACTCTATTAGCCTTTGTCCTGCTTTATTCCATAATCCAAGGCCAAATTTGCCTGTTACTCCAGGTGTTTCTTGACTTCCTACTTTTGCATTCCAGTCCCCTATAACGGAAAGAATGTCATTTTTGTGTGTTAGTTCTAAAAGGTCTTGTAGGTCTTCATAGAACCGTTCAACTTCAGCTTCTTCAGCATTACTGGTTGGTGCATAGGCTTGGATTACCGTGATATTGAATGGTTTGCCTTGGAAATGAACAGAGATCATTCTGTTATTTTTGAGATTGCATCCAAGTACTGCATTTCAGACTCTTTTGTTGACTCTGATGGCTACTACATTTCTTCTAAGGGATTCCTGCTCCCAGTAGTATATATAATGGTCATCTGATTTAAATTCACCCATTCCAGTCCATTTTAGTTCGCTGATTCCTAGAATGTCGACATTCACTCTTGCCATCTCCTGTCTGACCACTTCCAATTTGCCTTGATGCGTGGACCTAACATTCCAGGTTCCTATGCAATATTGCTATTTACAGCATCAGACCTTGCTTCTATCACCAGTCCCATCCACAACTGGGTATTGTTTTTGCTTTGGCTCCATCCCTTCATTCTTTCTGGAGTTATTTCTCCACTGATATTCAGTAGCATATTGTGTGCCTACCGACCTGGGGAGTTCCTCTTTCAGTATCCTATCATTTTGCCTCCTCATACTGTTCATGGGGTTCTCAAGGCAAGAATACTGAAGTGGTTTTCCATTCCCTTCTCCAGTGGACCACATTCTGTCAGACCTCTCCACCATGACCTGACCATCTTGGTTGGCCCCACTTGGCATGGCTTAGTTTCATTGAGTTAGACAAGACTGTGGTCCTGTGATCAGATTGGCTAGTTTTCTGTGATTATGGTTTTAATATGTTTGCTTGCTCACCCATGAAAAGGAATATAATTGGGTCATTTGTAGTGATATGGATGAACCTAGGGACTGTCATACAGAGTGAAGTAAGTCAGAAAAAGAAAAAGAATCTTGTATATTAACACATATATATGGAATCTAAAAAATGGTACAGATAAACCTATTTGCAGAGCAGGAATAGAGATGCAGATGTATAGAATAGACTTGTGGAGATGACACAGTAGGAGAAGGAGTAGGTGAGATGAGCTGGGGAAGTAGCATTAACACATATGCACTACCATTTATAAAACAGATAGCTAAACCCCAAAAATAGTATCAGAAAATTACTAGAGCTAATCAGTGAATTTAGCAAAGTTGCAGGATACGAAATCAATACACAGAAATAAATTTCACTTCTATATACTAACAATGAAAAATCAGAAAGAGAAAAAGAATCAATCCCATTCACCATTGAAAAAATTAAATATATTGTAATAAATTTATGTAAGGAGACAGAAGACCATACACAGAAAATTATAAGACATTAATGAAAGAAATCAAAGATGACATAAACAGATGGATAGATAGTCTATGTTCCTGGATAGGAAGAATTAATATTGTGAAAATGACTATATTACCAAATGAAATCTACAGGTTCAATGTGATCCCTATTAAATTACCAATGACACTTTTCTCAGAACTAGACAAAAAAATTCACAATTCATATGGAAAGACAAAAGACCCTGAAAAAAAAAAAAAAAGACCCTGAATAGCCAAAGCAGTCTTGAGAAAGAAGAATGGAGCTGGAGGAATCAACCTCCCTGACATCAGATTATACTACAAAGTGACAGTCATAAAGACAGTATGGTACTGGCACAAAAATAGAAATATAGACGAGTGGAACAAGATGGAAAGTCCAGAAATAAACTCATGCACCTATGGGTACTTTATTTTTGATAAAGGAGGGAAGAATATACAATGGAGCAAAGAGATCCTCTTCAATAAATGGTGTTGGGAAAACTGGACAGTAAAGGAATGAAATTAGAAGACTTCCTAACACCATACACAAAGATAAACTCAAAATGGATTAAAAACCTAAATATAAGACCAGGAACTATAAAACTCTTTGAGGAAAACATAGACAGAACACTCGGTGACATAAATCAAAGCAATATCCTCTATGATTCACATTCTAGAGTAATGGAAATCAAAACAAAAGTGAACAAGTGGGACCTGATTAAACTTAAAAGCTTTTGCACAGCAAAGGAAACTATAAGCAAGGTGAAAAGACAACCCTCAGAATGAGAGAAAATAGTAGCAAATGAAACAGCTGACAAAGGATTAATTTCCAAAATATACAAGCAGCTCATTCAACTCAATACCAGAGAAACAGCCCAATCAAAAAGTGGGAAAAAGATCTAAACAGACGTTTCTCCAAAGAAGACATACAGATGACTAACAAACACATGAAAAAAGGTGCTCAACATTGCTCATTATTAGAGAAATTCAAATGAAAACTACAATGAGATATTACCTCACAGTGATCAGAATGGCCATCTTCAAAAAGTCTATAAACAATAAATGCAGGAGAGGGTGTGGAGTAAAGGGAACTCTTTTGCACTGTTGGTGGGAATGTAAATTGATATAGCTGCTATGGAAGATGGTATGGAGATTCCTCAAAAAACTAGAAATTAAACCACCATATGACCCAGCGATCCAGAGGTATATACCCTGAGGAAACCAAAATTGAAAAAGACACATGTATCCCATTGTTCATTGCAGCACTATTTACAATCGCTAGAACATGGAAGCAACCTAGATGTCCATCAACATATGAGTGGATAAAGACGTTTTTGTACATATACACAATGGAATATTACTTAGCCTTAACAAGGAACACATTTGAGTCAGTTCTAATGAGATGGATGAACCTAGAACCTATTATATAGAGTGAAGTAAGTCAGAAAGAGAAAGATTGATATCATATTCTAACGCATATACTTGGAATCTAGGAAAATGCTACTGAAAAATTTGGTTACAGGGCAGCAATGGAGAAACAGAAATATAGAATAGACTTATGGACATGGGCAGAGGGGAGGAAAGGCTGAGATGTATGGAAAGAGTAACATGAAACTTACATTCTGCTGCTGCTGTTGCTAAGTCACTTCAGTCATGTCCAACTCTGTGTGACCCCATAGATGGCATCCCACCAGTTTCCCCCATCCCTGGGACTCTCCAGGAAAGAACACTGGAGTGGGTTGCCATTTCATTCTCCAATGCATGAAAGTGAAAAGTGAAAGTGAAGTTGCTCAGTCGTGTCTGATTCTTAGCGACCCCATGGACTGCAGCCTACCAGGCTTCTCCATCCATGGGATTTTCCAGGCAAGAGTACTGGAGTGGGGTGCCATTGCCTTCTCTGAAACTTACATTACCATATGTTAAATAGATAGCTAATGGGAATTTGCTGTGTGGCTCAGGAAATTCAAACAAGGGCTCTGTATCAACCTAGAGGGGTGGAATGGGGAGGGAGATGGGAGGGGGGTTCAAAAGGGAGCGGATATATGTATATCTATGGCTGATTCATGCTGAAGTTCAACAGAAAACAACAAAATTCTGTAAAGCAATTATCCTTCAATTATGTGTGTGTGTATATGTATGTATATATATATATGTGTGTGTGTGTGTGTGTATGTGTATATATATATATATATATATATATATATATATATATATTTCTGATGACCTACAGGAATGGGATGGGGGTTGGAAGGGAGGATGATTCACATTGTTGTATAGCAGAAATTAACACAACATTATAAAACAATTATACTACAATTTAAAAATAAAAAAGACATATTTTTTAAAGTGACATCCTTTTTTCCATTTAACAATAGCAATGCTTTTAGGTATAATGAGAATTTTAATTTTTAAAGAAAATATGAAGAGAAGGAAAAAAGGATCTAGATATAGAATTTTGTGGTTAAAATATTTCCTACACATATTAAAAAAAATTTAAAGCTGCATAGGCTTCTCTTGTGGCTCAGATGTTAAAGAATCTGCCTGCAATGTGGGAAACTTGGGTTTGATCCACAGTATAGCAGTATGAAGAATCTAAAAATGTTTTAGGTCAAGCATCGAAACATCAAGGGTGAAACAGATCACCAGCCCAGTTTGGATGCATGAGACAAGTGCTCGGGCCTGGTGCACTGGGAAGACCCAGAGGGATTGGGTGGAGAGGGACGTGGGAGGGGGGATCGGGATGGGGAATACATGTAAATCCATGGCTGATTCATGTCCATGTATGGCAAAACCACTACAATATTGTAAAGTGATTAGCCTCCAACTAATAAAAATAAATGGGAAAAAATAGCTTAGACAGTATCAGTAGACTAATAAACTATTTAGACAGATATGAAAAACTAAAGAAGTTATTCAGAGTATCCTATCTGATTGAAATACAATAAATACAGTAATAAGAGATGGGTGACTCTGTGACTTACATCTGTGACAATTTTTTTTTCTTTCTCCTCCTGGTCACATAAGTAGGCTACATTTCCCAGGCTCCTTTGCAATTCCATGTGGCCCAGGGACCAAGTTTTGGCCAAAGAATGTGAGCAGATACAATGCATGTCACTTTCAGGACCTCCAATAAAAAACCCTTCTTTATACTCCATCTTTAAAAGTGTATCTTACCACTCTTTATCCTCCATGGAGCTTTCTTTGAGTAAAATGCTCCTTCTGTTCTCCTCCTTTAGGTTCTTGATTACATGCTGCCTTTTATCACTCATTTTGCTTTAATTATTTTAGACCTGCCTCACTAATCAAATTATAAGTTCCTTAAAGCCAAGGATCATATCTTCTAATTGCTTTGTACCTTCCTCAGGGCCTAGCCCATAATAGATTTTCAATATTTATTGATTAAACTGTGTGACCTTGGACAGTCTCCTACCTTAGTGATAATGTTCTCTTTATGGTGTCGCATAGAACTCTCACAGGTAGAAAAAAATACCTACATGCCTGTATAAAGATAACACCACCATGAAATAAGCTAATTTGGAAATAGAAAATTATATATTGCCACATTTGTTTTAATGATGTTCTCCTGCTTGTGTTTTGCCTGGAAGGTAGTTTTCCTGAATGATGAGGGTACCATGAATTACTTTGACCTCTAATACAGCCTGAAAATTAGGCTCAACAATATGAGGCCTTGTAAACACTTATTAGAAGCTTGGTCTTCTATTTTCTTGAGTGATAGTTTACCACAGTAAAACTGCTGCTAAGAGAACTGCATCATGAAATTTTAATATCTTGTTCAATAGTTTGGTAGCTTTGGGCTATTGACATTCTAGGAACTACACTGACGTCCATTAAGCAAGTGATGAAATTTGAAACTGCTTTTTCTTTTCACAACATGTAGCAATTTAAATCTGGAATACCAGACTTGTAATAAACAACACTCATTTTAATCATTTTTTCTCTTTATAACTAAACTTCTTAGCAGCAGTTATTTTTTTATTTCTGTCATCTTTGTTTCTTATAAAAAATTACCATCCATTTGTTCTAAGAATTGTACAAAGACCTCCACTCTATTTAATAATAAAACTTTCACAATACAGAGATACATGTGCTTTCAGTACTGTTCCAGGTCTTTGCCTTAGCTATTATTTAATACCTTATTCAAAAATCAAAGCACTGGATAGGTTACTTTATATGAACCACTAAGCTATACATTAAATAGCTGTTAGAGGATTAATAAGGAAACACTATATTTTTTTAGAATTATGATTTAATACAAATCCAGCTTAGTCCACAATCATAATAATTATTGACATTCAATTGCCTTATTCATATCATAGAAAACATTCTATCAAGTATGCCTTTTAAAGGGAAAAAATTTTTCTCTCTTTTGTAAGTTAAAAATCTTAGAATGTTCAAGTACAAACTTTTGAGAATTTTTGGTTAAGCAGCTTCATTTTTGATATTGGAAACTGAGACTTCAAATGATAAAGTAACTTGTCCAAGATTGCACAGATGCATAATTGCAAAGCTGAAACTAGAATCTAAGTGTTTTAATTCCTTTCCTCAGGCTCCTTCTACTACATTATATAGGAAAATGAAATTGAAGTGATTTAAGACTTTATCACTATAACTTTTTCTATAGTCCTATTTTGCTCTTTGGAGCAAGATAGAGTTAATTTTTTCTTCTGCCGAATACAATTCCTCACACAGCTAAAAACTGATGGTATGATTCAACACCCCCCCCCACCCCGTGCCCCAGCCCGTGTTTAATCTATGTACTTCATGCATGTGTCCTGCTCAGTCGCAATGGATTCTTTGCAACCCCATGAAATGTAGCCCGCCGGGCTCCTTTTTTCCATGGAATTTTCCAGGCAAGAATATTGGAGTGTGTTGCCATTTCCTAGTCCAGGGAATTTTCCTGACTCGGGGATCAAACCCGCATCTTTTGCATCTCCTGCATTGGCAGGTGAATTCTTTGCCACTGCACCACCTGGACAACAAAATACCTTATATCCTTGGTTATTCTCTTCTGGACAGTCTCTAATTTGTCAAAATCTCTCCTGACCTAAGCACCCATAAACTTAGATGTGGTATCAACCTAACCTTAATTTCTTCCCATCTTAGATTTTTCTTCATTCTACAATAACATTTTAAAATAAATATTATTATCATCTCCATTTTACATATGAAAAGAAAGATTCGGGGATGTTAAGGAACTTGTCCATATTCATCTTGCGTATAACCATGTGTGGTCATTGTATATTGTCTTAGTATATTCCTAAAGATCCCTAACAACCAACTGACAAACATTTACTTATTAAGCACCTGCTATGTAATATATACAATTATATCTACAAAAAAGTATAAACTGCCTCCCCCAACTGCCTTCAAGGAAATTACATTCTAGTTGAAGTTATATAAAGAACCATTAGAATGTGATATAATATAAATGGCAACAATTATGATGATGTTTAGAGAAGAAAGAAAACAGGAAGAGAAAAAATCATCTAGCATTTAAACATTTATTATATATTTATTGTTTGCCAGATGTTGTGTTGTCTATTTTTCATACAAAATATAAATCCTTAAAAATGTACAATGATGCAAGCACTACCTGCCCCATTTTAAAGCAAGAAAATTGATTCTGAGACTCAAAGGGAGACTGGAAGAAGAAAGGCAAGAGATGTACAAGGTACAAGATGTATTTGTTAGGTACAGGATTAAACAGTGTAATAGAGGGAGTTCATATTGGGGAATAGCAAGAGATAAAACTGCAATCCATAGTAAGTAAATGAGTTGAATTTCAAAGGTGTTATTCTAGAAGCATTGCAAACAGTTTCAATGTCATATGCTCTAATACTTCAGTATTTCTGAGTCTAATAAAGAGAAGAGCCTTGCACCCCTGCTCGCCACAATTTTCAGCTTGGTGGTGTATGGAATGGGGGAAAGGAAGAATGTTGAAATGTCAAGAGACTTGCTTTATGTGACCAACTGGAATATGGGGGCTTTTTCTCCCTTAAGTTCACCTGTCTTTCAAGATCATTACTAACATCCCCAAACTGAATCTCAAAGGACATGTAATTATATATATATATATATATATATATATATATATATATATATATATAATGGCTAGTAGTACAGTTTTGGTTTGAGAAATAGGTAGTAATACAAATATATTGATCTCATACACTAGTGAAGTAAGAGCTCTGACTTCTCAGCAAATGGGCTCTTAAAAAGTCAACCTATGCTATCAAGGTCAATCTTACCTGCTAGCATAAGTGACTATTGCCTGCATGCTGCATACTAAGTCGCTTCAGTCGTGTACAACTCTTTGTGACCCTATGGACTGTAGTCCACCAGACTCCTCTGTTCATAAGGGAATTTTCAGATTCCCTTGTTGGGTCAGCAGTAGAAAATCTGCCTGTAGTGCAAGAGACACAGAAAACATGGGTTTGACCCCTGGATTGGGAAGATCTCCTGGAGAAGGAAATGGCAACCCACTCCTGTATTCTTGCCTGGGAAATAACTTGGACAGAGAAGCCTGGAGAGCTACAGTCCATGGGGTTGCAAGAGTTGGACACAACTTAATGACTAAACTACTACCACACCAATGGAATTTTCTGGCTATCATGTAAAACCTATATCACTAAATTTCCTGCTGTGCCAGTTTGTAAAAGTACTTCCCATTTCATCATTATAGTATCAATCCTTTGTTTTAAAGCATTGTACTTATATTACCTTAAAACTGTACCTTCAAGTGCAGTTGCAAGGTGCAACTTGCAGATGCAAATGCATCATAGATCAAACATTTACTTGTTAGCATGAAATCTGTTTTTAGATAATCTAACAAAGTCTAAAGATATGTTCTCCAACATGAGAACCTCTAGCCACATATGATTTCCTTAAATTCAAATTTAAAATATTTAAAATTAAGGAATATAGAAGTTTAACCCCTCAGTCACACTAACCCTTTCAAGTGCTCAGTTGGCAAATATGGCTGGTAACACCATACTGGACAGTGCAGGTATAGAGTATCCACATAATTGGAAAAAAGCTCTATGGAACAAAGCTGGTTTAATGGTAATGTTTTGGGAGTAACAGGAAGTTGGAAAGGGTCAGCACCTAGGAATACATCCTGAGAACAGCAGACTCAGGGTACGGACCTGTTGTAAAAGTAAGATTAAAAGTAAAATTAAAGTAAGATTAAAGTAAGGTATTTAATTAAAGTAAGGTACCTGGATTAAAATAAGGTATTCAATGTACTAGTCATAATTAAACTCTCCTCTGGTCATGGTCACATCCTTCATCTAAGCCATCATGTAAAACCTATATTCCTAACAGGCCAGTAACCCAGAAATATCACTCTACTGCTTAATATGAATAAGCAATTCATATTAAATGCTTAGTATGAACTTAATATATGAGACTTATGGTAAATCCATAGCATCACCTTCATGTTTATAATATATTGATTAATATTATAGGTGTGTCGATTTCAAGGGCTCTCAGAGACCAATCTTTAAAAATTAATATTTTTACCATATTGCAGAATATACTGTGTGTTGTATAACTATTATGAGGCAAGAACTTCTCAATGATTCTTACTAATGAGATGTTAGTTGTTGAAATGAATTTACGGCAAGTACACTGGAGTCACATTTTATCCAGAGTTGACTTAAAACTAGGTGATATCTGAGAGCACCACATACATACTTATATTTAACATTTATTTTCATGTTGCTTACTAGATTATTTTATTTCCTGGAAGTATATGCATAGTTAACATTGCTAACTCTATATGAGATAATAAGCCTTTGTTTACAATATAAATATAATAGACAATATAATTACTCCTCTACCTGTAGTTGAAAGCCATTCTTCCTTGAGGCCTATAGTGTCCAGCTATATTACCTACCATCTTTTACCCTTCCTTGCTTTATTCATCCACTTATCTTTTAGTCCCTTTTGAAGATTCTGGCACCGAGAGCACAGTCTCTCCATCCCAAATACTGAAATCATCATTGATAAAGTCCATGTGGATAATTCACCTACCATT